AATCATTGTTATAGTAGAGTTTTATTATGCACTTGAGTTGTTTGATGAAATGCCTAATAGAGGTTTGAGTATGAGTAGTGAACCTTAATTCTTGCAACATTGCATGTTGGCATTTCATAAGTGCATTAGTGGAGATGAACCATCCATATGCATTAATTGTGCATTGAGAAATGACTTAAGAAAGAGTAGGGAACTTTGTGTAGGCACTTGCTCTATGAGTAGAGAACTTTGTGAATGCAACTACTCTAAGGGTAGAGAGAATGAGAAGTGCTATGAGAAGAGTATGAGAAAAGGGTTGATGCTTTATGATCGTCACCCGATAGTTATTAGAAAGGGTTGATGCTTTGTGATCGTCACCCAATAGTTATTAGGAAGGGTTGATGCTTTGTGATCGTCCCCCGAAAATCATGAGAAACGGGTTGATGCTTTGTGATCGTCACCCGATAGTTATGGAAACCGGATAGGTGCTTTGTGATCCCCACTCGATATTCATTAAGAGCGGGTTGGTGCTGTGTGAACTCCACCCGACAGTCATGCAGAGTGAGATGGTGCTGTGTGAACGCCATCCGGTCGTACCTCCGGTAAGATGAGGCCATGACGTTTAGTAGATAACAATAGAAAGAAAGTGTGAGGAAAGAATTAAGAGAAGTACTTACGGGGATAGATAGATAGAGGGTTTACTTACTGAGCATTATTTTGTAGGGGTGTTCAAAAGAACCGGTTGGAACCAGAACCGGCGGGTACCCTGGGTTTAGTTCCGGTTCCTACCCAGAACCAGTCATCAATGGGTAGGTTCCGATTCCAAATTTTTGGAACCGTTACTGTGCGGTTCCGATTCCGGTTCCTATAGTTAGGAACCAGAACCGGAACCAGGAACCAGGAACCGAGACTAATATAAAATAAAATTAAAGATTAGGGGGGTTAATAAAAACTTTTGTAGAAAAAGCAATGTGAATACATTTATATTTATATTTATATTTCATAACATTTAAAGTAAGTTGGTTTGACTTTCAAGAATCTACCTTTACAAAGTAATGGAGTTTGTAATTTTAAATTTATAATTTGTAATTTTATTTTTGTTAATAAGTGCCAGGTGGGGGGGTATTTGTAAGTTTTTAAGGTTTTTTTGCCATTTTAAAAACTTTTGGAGGGTCATGGAATTTTACAGGGTACCCAGAACCGGAACCGGAACCGTTGTTACAGGTTCTGGTTCTGGGTATCTAGGAACCGGAACCGTCGGTTCCGGTTCTGGTTCCAAATTTCAAGGAACCGTCGGTTCCGATTCCGGTTCCGGTTCCTTCAAAAAGTGTAGGGTACCCAGAACCGAACACCCCTATTATTTTGTGCTCACCCCATCATTTTCCTTTGTGGATGCAGGACCTAGGTGATAATGCAGTCAGAGGGGCGTCAGCAAGCGAGGAGCAATAACTACACTATTTCCCCTGTTTTTGTCTTTTTAAATGGCATTTTGTAAATAATGCTCTTTGTGTATAAAAGACTTAGTACATATAATAAAAAGAAAGTTTTGGGCCCATTTTCTATTATTATTATGCATGCATTGTACTAGTTTACAGCAGTTGTTACAGTTTTAAAACCCGAACAAACCCGGCCGTTTGGATTGGGACCCGAGGCCTTCTCCAGGTCGGATTACCCTTTTAACTGTTTCAAGTTTGAAATCCAACAAACATATCCTCTAGCAAAATGCAAATCGGCGATGACCTTCCCTTTTTCGGCGACCTTCCACCTTCCTTTGCTGTCGAAAACCAGCTTCTGACTTTCTCCGAGGCCATAACGCTTCATCTCCCATCGTCGCGCAATGTTTCTTTGTCCATCAATTTTTCTTCCATTTCCCGACGTCGATAGGCCTCTTCAGCTACCGATCTACCTTCTCCCAAGCTCCCTTGTCGTCATTCACGAAGATCCACAATCATCTCACCCAAAAAAGCCATTGCGACCGTTTCACTTCCACTACCGATTTGCCATTTTTCGGCAATGCCTCAACTTGCTAGTTGCCGATTCGTCCTCCCCATCACCTGATCTACCCTCCCTGGTGTGTCGTCGCCGCTCTCAATCAATCTCCGATTTGCATTTGGCCAGGAGTTGTGTTTGCTAGATATCAAACTTATAGGGTCTGATGGTATTTATTAGGGGTATGTTTGCTAAATTTTAAACCTGTTTAACCGGTTAACCCATGACCCGGTCACCTGAATGGGTCACCCCCCAAGTCAGGTTTTAAAACCTTGTTGAAAGCAATATCATTAATTTAACATGTAAAAATGGAAGCCCAAGAACATACCCCAAGCCTTGTTGTGAGAAAATGAAAATCTGAAATACTTTGAGAGATGCTTGTAAATTGGGATTAGTTCTAGTCTATTCATATTCCATCAGAGAAGAAGAATTTATATAAAGGGTTGTTACCACTAATGGTTGGGAAAAGAACTGCTATTGAGAGATATTAATAAGTAACTATTATTGGGAGATATTAATATTTCAATTAAATTGAAATATTAATAACAACGATAATGATGGTCATATTAATGACACGGGTTATTTGGAATTAAATTCAAACATTCTCCCATTTGACCCATCAAACACTTAATATGTAACAATTAACATTGATACATCCTCAAATGTTTCCCATATATATAATATCCTTGCACTCAAACAAAAGAGTTTAAATTACATGAATATAAGTCCTTTAGATAAGTATTATCTTCACGTATTATAATACAATTTTCTCTTTTAAATGAAAACCATACGTGGTATATAACTTTATTAATGAACTTCCAAATGCTCATTTAAGGTCAACAAACAAAAGTTCAAACATGCATTGCCATTCTCCAAACTTCATGTGTACAACTAAATAAGAGAACAATTACCTCTCTCAATAAAAGTTTATAAATTAATAAAAACACCCCCACTCACCCACGCTCGCCAACAACCATCGTCGGCCGCTAGTTGCCAGAGCCGAAACGATGCCATTTTGGTGACTTTCAACCACTGTCCAATGGTGGTGGCCGACTGTCGACAATCAATTGGGTGGGTAGGTAGAGTTATTTTTGTTAATTTATAAGCTTTTATTGTTGGAGGTGTGTTAGCTAAATTAACAAATATAGGGTGTTAAAAATTAATCTAAATATTTTTAGAAAATGTTTTTCAAAAATATATCAAACACATTCTTAAAATCTTGTCCTATTTAATTAAATCCTATTATATTTTATTCAAAATAGAATACTATTACAAAAAAAAAAAAAAAAAGTGTAGCAAACGGTGCCATGGGACACTTTTTTTTCGCTTTCATTTGGTCCTTCCTTATAAGCAACAGCAATTAGTGTTTTCCGTATGGTTTTTGTGTCAAAAGATGAGTGTGTGAAAAGACCTTGCCTCAGCAAATGAAATTTTTGCTCCCTATGGTTTTTGTCCTCAGTAAAGGACATGAATATATTTTATTAACAAAATTATCCTCCAACTTGATAGACGTTAGGGTAACAATAACAAGAAAGAGGGCATGTGAGTAGTCGAGTAGGGCTGAGTAGAAATTTCGAGTGGAACCAGAACTGCAAGGGACCTGCGTTCTGGTTCTAGTTTCGAAAATTCAAGAATCTGTATTCTACAGTTTCGGTACCAGTTCCACAACTTTAGGAACCGGTACCGACCCGAGAACCAAGAGCACCCTACAATTTCAGCAAAAATTACGGGCTACTTTGTAATTTTACGATTTAGATAAATTACGAATTTGAGTTCAATTTCTAATTCTTCCGTTATTTGTCTTCCTCTCACTTCTCTTCTCACGCTTGCAAATCACAAGCTGTGAAGCTGATTTCTCCCTGAATTCCATGCCATTGTTCTCATTCTCATTCGGCTATTTTTATACAAAAGTCGTTGATTAATTTTCTTCGGCGAAGGTATTTTTCAGTTTTTTATTTCTATTTCTTTGATTTAGTGTTTGGCAATTGTTGTAATTGGTGTATTGAACTTAATGGTAGTGGATGGTTGTGATAATAGAGTGATTGGTGATGTGGTATGACAGTGCTAGTGGCGGATCGGTGGTAGTTTTGGTGGTTGTGGTGTGAATAAATTTGAATATTAGGGTTCAAATTGGGGTTTTCAAATTTAGTCCTTCTGTTGCAATGTTTACTTGATAATGGCTCATATTTTTTACAAAATCTTTGATTTTTATTTTTTTTCTTTTTTGCTTTAATCGACTTTTGTTGTTGGAAGATGATGGAATTTGAATAATCATTAAATGGTGAATGTGGTTCAATGTTAATGGGTTTGGATTTGAAATTGGGGGTTTAGTTTTGAAAATCAATGATTGATTCTCAAGATTTGTTGATTCAGGTTTTGATTCGAAGAAGAAGAATCAATTGAAGAAAGTGTGGTTGTACAAAGGAGTTGTAAACAATATAAGGTACCAACGGAACCAGAACTAGTAGATTCTAGTTCCAGCTTCAATATTTAGGAACCGCAAAGTAACGATTCTGGTTCCAATATTTAGGAACCGTACAGTACCATTCCCGTTCCTAAAACTCAGAACCGATACTCTGCTGTTTCGGTTTCCTAGTTTTGGCTAGGGTACCCAAAGCCGCTCAACCCTACATGTGATGGACTATTTTGCTTGTTGAAAAGAAAGGTGTTCTGCCTTGTAATGAACTAAAACCATAGGGACTACTATGTAATTAACTTACTATTTGCTTATTTTGCTTGTTGAAAATAAAGGTGTTCTGACTTGTAATGAACTAAAACCATAGGGACTACTTTGTCATTAACTTATTATTGGCTATTTAGTCCAACTTGCACTAAAGTGACAGTATCAAATTTTATTCACTCTAGTTCAATATAGTCCAGTACGAAATATTCAATCCAATCTAGTGCAATGACTCCCCTTTGAATTAAAGAGTGAAATCTTAAAAATGTGACAAGGATCTCATATATGGACACATTAATATTAAAAGAAAAATTATAGAATTCTTTTATTAATTGAAATTTTTATTAGCACAGACTTCACTCATTGTAGCATAGAGGGGATCATTTTGAAGGAGGAAGAACTCCATTAAGGAATGATGAAATCATGGTGAGTGCACGTTCTGGTTGATAGCTTGGAACCAAATGTCCAGCTCCTCTCACTGTCACAAATGTCAATCCATCGTACGCCTCCACATATCCTGCAACCTGTTCGTTATCATCATAATTTCATCATATTTTAAATAATATTATATTAGTTCATGTCACTATAAATGCACCCCATGACTCAAAACATTTATTTTAACACTAGGAATGAAATATCTGGTTTTATACCAAACTAATTTTGTTGTGGCTGTAAAAATGTTAAAACAAATGCATTATTGATATACTTTAGTACCTCCTCATTGGTGTACCATGGATACCAAGCAGCCTTGATAGGAAGGTTGAGGGTTGATATGGAGTACCTAGATGATGTAACGGGCACAACTGAGTCTATGTCACCACTGCAAAGATAACATTGCATCGTTAATTACAATTTTCATTAAATGACAATTTTTCTTTCCAATTATTATTGTTTTATTCTTAATCCATTAAATTAAATATCGAAACACTAACATTAGGAAATAAATGGTTATGGAAAAACGCTAGTTTATTAATTAATTGAACTTGCCTGTATATCCACACTCGTACACCGCTAGCCATGATATTCTTGATGAGGGGTACGACAGTAAGGGTCGTATCGTTCCAGCTGGTAATTAAATAGCTGCACAGTGATAAAGCTGTTTAGTGCATGTGACAAATAATCAATAGCTATTCGTTAATTAAGATCTAACAAAAGTTTACTAATTGATTGCTTATGTTTAATCCTTATATATGAATACCTGCAACCCTGCCATTTTGTATTCTTTGCATGAAGAGCGGCTTGAACCTCTGGAATATTCAGATATGACTTCACATAATTGTCTGAGCAAGGATCAAAGTTCCTTACCTGCTTCATATAACAGAGAAAATTAAGTAAAAGGTCAATCTCTTAATTTCTAACTCAAATTTCTTTTCTCCTAAGAATCTTTTTCTATATATAAAAATGAAGAGAAAATCTAAAGTGTTGCAATGACAGTCTGCACATGCCAATTATAAATATAAGTAATAAACTAATAACTACTAATCATATTGAAACTATGCATTATATCTGTTAAGGAAATTTATAAGACTTACTGAACCAATTGAATTTTTCTTCTGGGCATTGTTTGGTTCCACATCATGGCAAAGTGGGGCATAAATGTTGTAAGGATCTATATCTCCTATCGCATTCAATCCCGTCTCATAAACGTCCACACATTTTTCTGAAAAATTTCTATTCACAAAGTCACAGTATTTGTATATGCCTTTGTATGATTCGTCTGACATCAAAGCGTGAGTCCATAGATAATCAATTTCTCCCATGACGTCTGTATGATAGTTAAGCACTCCATTACCAATCTGAAATAGTTATATGCATTACAAAAGTTAGTAAAAATTCAATTCAAGGATCGGAACAGATTATATATATATATATATAAAATTAATAACATATGTATACCGCAATTCCTTTGAGATTGATAACAGTTTGATTTAAGTATTTATTGTGGAGCAGAATGGTGTTTGCAAGCTGAGGGACATAGTGACCAGCGTAGCTCTCTCCAGTTATGAAAAAATCCCTTGTTTTATATTGAGGGAACCTCTCCAGCCAGTTGACAAGAAATGTATAGGCATCAACTGCAGTTGTATTATCACCTGAGTGGTCATAGTCCGAAGATGTATTTGAATATGAAAAGCCTACCCCAGCTGGAGATTCCAAGAAGATTACATTTGCCACTGACATTTTTTGAAAAAGAAAAAAAGTAAGTTTTATGGTTGTTACGTTGTTGTCTTGATGAAAAATGAAGTGAAAAGTTAAATATGAATGATGAGTAATAGATTTGGAGAGAAAGGATTAATCCACCCTAAGTTTTTGGTCTAACAACGTCAAGGTCCTAGCCTTTCAAACACTAGGAAATACCCCTTTCAAACTAACAATCCCTAATCAAATCATAAATCTGAAACAACATATTTTATGGAGAGACGGGTGTTCTACCCTTACATGGATTAACGTCTCTTAGAATTAGAGAAAGCCTATCTTAGTGGTTTAAACTAAATGATTAGAACAATACTAAACCCAAACTCTAGAGGGGTATATACAATTATCTTGATAAATTTTGCTTACCATTGTGCCATGCATAGTCATTTTGAAATAGTGTTTTGCCATCACTATTTACTCTGAAGGGTCCTAATTCAGTCATAGCCCCATACCCAAAAGACGAACATCCAGGTCCTGAAAATATCAAAAATAGTTATTTAGTAGCTATGCGAGCAAAACAAAAGATAGGACAAATTTAAGATAAGAAAATGAAAACAGAGGAAATAATAATTAAAATATGATGATTATAATAACATTAACACATTTTTATATGATGAATAATGCCAATTCTAAACACATCAACTATTTTACTTATGTTTGAGTTAAACAAAAATATATATATCAATGTTACATGTCACCAACTGTATACGTATATTCATGCGGATAGACGTATATTCATGCGGATAGACATAGCTGAAAGAGACTATTATTAATTAATTACCTCCATTGAGCCACAAAACCAAAGGTTTGGTTGAAGAATTTTGAGGTGACTCAACAAAATAGTAAAACAATGCCCTTCCAGCCTGAGGATCAACCGTCACATAACCTGAGTACTGACTAAAGTTTATACCATTAGGTTGGCCAGGCAATGTAGTAATCTTGTCAAGTTCCATTGAACCATCCTGAGTCCCAATATACACAGGACTATACTCGTGTTTTACACTTGATTCCTCTTGAGAATTTGCCTGAAAAGAGTTTCTCCATCTTTTAGACTTAATCAGCCTTTGAAGATTATCAGCTTGGTTGGCCTCAATAAAGTTAAGTGATGCCAAAAGGGAGAGAAGAAGCAGCTTTGAAAATAATGTTAGCTTCATCTTCTTGTTGCTTAAATTGCCTTAATTTGCATGGCATCAGTTCACAATATATATAAGGTAAGACTGAGAGGACGATAATATTAAAGGTAGGATTTATAACACTAAAGCTTTGATTTACAACAGAATACCCCAAGGTTTTCGGAAAGTAACAATGCCCCCACAATTGATTACTTTACCATATAAAGAATATAATACCCTTTGCCTAATATATATTCTTTTCAATTTTTATTTTAACTATATAAATATTAATTTTTATTAACCAATTTTATATAATATAATTATATATATATATATATATATATATATATAAATATTATAATATATTATTATTAATTTATCAATTAACTAAAAAAGTAAGACTTGATATAATTAAATTACATACTTAAATAAATGAAATGAGATTAAGTATATAAGATAAATGATACTAAATTTTTTCCAACGAAGTTTTAGATTCATTTAATTTTTATTTTAACTATATAATAATTGAAGAAATAAAATGGAAAATATATATAATTGACAAATGGTATTATAGACTTTGTATAGCAAGGTAATCAATTTTTTGAGTGCATTTGTTACTATCCGAAACCCTTGGGTGCCTTTATGTTTCCCCAAACCTCAGGAGGAAATTGTTTTAAACCCTATTAAGGTAGTTAACCTGTTTTTAAGTTCTTGGGGACGTTAGAAAATCCAAGTGATATAGCTACATTCATTACACTTAACAAAATTAAACCTGGCCGGTTGCGTTCTAAAAATGCATTTTAAAATGTGTTTCTTTTGGCTTTCTTTTGGTAAAGCTATCGATGCAATTATCAAGTCAACCGGGGCTTAAAAGCCTTAATTACATTTCTTTGTATCTAACTATTTGTACATGACCCTTATATTTCATAAATCTTGACCGGCTGCATTTTAAAATTTACTTGGAATCTAACAGCACTATTTATATGTGTCATGCCAGCTAATACATCTAAGAGAACTTCACAAGTAATTAAAAAAAAAAAAACATTTGGTTTTTCTCTTAATATATCTCTTTGTCTTTATGACATGTTTTTAAACTGACCATCCGTTGCCTGGTCAAGGGGCCCATTTTTGGGTTGATTGGTCTGTGCAAGCAAACACATCTGGAACTCAATAGTCCCTATAGTTTGAAATCTAGTAATACAGCCCCTATAAAATTTGTCATCCTCAAGCTTAATGGACAAACACACCCCTGCGATTTTTTACTCCTTTTAAAATTTTATCTTTTCAAGTAATTTCTCTTTCTCTCTATTTACCTTCCAAAACAAACAAAGATCCTACTTCCTCCACCACTTTGTTGTCTCTTCCTATTGTGCACTTGGAGAAGGCCGTGCCTCCTCACACCTCCGAGCCCTCCCCCACCACCACCCAACCGTCATCTCCTCAAAACAGCAGTCACCACATCCCTTATGTTTCTGGATCGCCCCTCTCAACCAAATTTTGACTGATCCCATCACCCCAAATCCTACCTACTGCCACCCCTGGCATCACACCCTCCTCACAAAACCCCGAACACCCTTGCAAGATCGCTTATTGATCCGTGCGCTGACCATCCTAGGTTTTTTGCGATTTGAAGGTTTTTAGGAGTTTTTTTTTTTTTTTTTTTTTTTTTTTTTTTTTTTTGTGTGGAGTTATTAGATGAAATTGATTTTATATTGGAGTGTGTGATTGTTGTGGATTTATTGTAACCTTTTCCCGATCATTTTCTTATGAACTCTCAAATTTTTCGAAGTTAACCCGACTTTGGGTTAAAATCAGTTGGACCGGCAGTTTGCTACAACAACCCCAGTCCAACCGTAGGTCAAACTAGATGAACTATCATCCTCGGTTTTTCACCCTGATCGACACGACTCAGTAGCCGGTTCCCGGTCCGACCAGTTGAACCGGTCAGGCTGGGCCATGTTTTAAAACAGAGGTCATGATTGTAATTAAAACAAACTTTTGTTAATCTAGAGAGAGTTTTCCATGAATTAAAACAAGCTTTTGTTAATCTAGAGAGAGTTTTCCGTGAATGGCTATACGTCGTTATCTGGATAATCATCCAATAAACTTTACCACTTTAATTTTTGTCTTTAAATTAACAAATTATATATATATTGAAGTAAAATTAGGCCAAATAACCATATTTGGTGGGTGTTAAGGCAAAATAACCAAGTTTAAAATCCCTTTCCATGTTAGCCATGCTTTCAACTTCGATAATGAAAATTCTACCCTTCTTTAAAAAATAGATAAAAGTAAGTGCTCTTTTAGAAATTCGTTTTGTGTTTTGTGAAAAATTTGAAAATTGTCAATTATGATGCGAAAATAAAAATGCAATTAGCGTATTTTTCTGACATCTTATATCGCTAGTAGATGGATTATAAGTTTAATTTGTAAGCTTCGTGTTCCCTCAACTTAGTGTAGAGTGGTCTTATTTGAGCCCCGCTTAATTTTTTTTTCTAAGTGTCAATAATAATTAAAATCATTTTAAAGATATAATTTACAAAACATTTTATATTTCATTCCAAAATTACCCCTCTCAAATATGCTCTTTCTAAGTCTTTTAATTAATTGCATCATCAGTTTTTTCTTTTCTCCCGTATTAAATTCTAATTGCATTTTCTTAGTATTCCTTCAACAACCTCATATTTCCCCTTTAAAATCTACATTAAATACTTTTTTATTCTAAATATATTCCACTACGTTTAATGCCTCCTTTACTATAGAGGAATAGAAAGTGGGAACAACGTTTCAATGTTGTCAAGCCAAAAACCATTTGCTGCAAGAAGAGGATGATGTGAGCCTTGTTCGATATTAGCTTATTTTCTATTTTCATGATTTTTTTTTTTTTAAATTTTTACCAAGAAACATAGATGTCAATAAATTAAAGAAAAAAAAATTGAGAAAAAAAATATTTAAAACTTACCTCTTCAAGAATTTTTTTTTTTTTTTCCATTTATTGAATTGAAACAATCTTCCATTACTTCTAAATATTTTAATCTTTAAAAAAAATCCCAAACATGTCAAAGGGTTTAGGGTTTCAATAAATAAAGAGTTTCTAAATACTTGGGGTGTAATAAGAGATTAAATACCCTTTTTTGTTATTAAAAGTGTAAAAAATATATAACTTTTTGAAAAATAATTATTGAGGCATGCAAAAGAGAGAGAATGGGGCTTAAATAACACACTCCTTCGGGTATCCATTTTGGTTTAATGATATTTACAGGAAAAAAAAAAATCGTTGGGCACAAAGGGCAATATTATTTGTAAATAATACTTTAGTTAGATAAACCTAAAATTTTAGCTAATATTTATGCATGTTCAAATGTAGGAAGAATTTTTTTTTTTTTTTTTTTTTTTTGTTGGATAAGTAGTTAGTATCATTAAAAGAGAAAAAGAATGTATAGAGAGGTGATAGACAAGCCCTCGAATAGGAACAAAAACATAAGTTTAATAGACTGAAAACCTAATCTCCCATTGTTTGTCTATCTTAAGCATGCAAAGAATAGGAGACAAGAAAAGAGAGGCAAGCAAAGGAACACAATGACAAAGACATTCTACCACAGGACATACCTTGGGATAAGATCCAAAAAAAACCTAAACAAAACTAAGAACAATTATACACAACATCATTCCTACCTCAAGACAAGTCTTGGGTTAGGAAAACTCATGTTCGTCACATGCTGGTTTTGAAGATAGTCATAGGTAATCCCCAAATCTCCGCAATTCTTCTATCAGCGATGGAAGATTTCATTTTGTTGAGGTCCATAGCCATATCTCTCACCATGTTCCAAATGTGGTTGTGAATTGTTCAAGCATCTATAAAATTTTGAAGATAGTAATAGGCAATCCCCAAATCTCCGCAAGTCTTCTATTGGCCATGGAAGATTTCATTTTGTTGAGATCCATAGCCCTATCTCTCACCATTTTTTGAATGTAGTTGTGAATTGTCCAAGCATCCATAAAATCCCCCTTAAATAATATATTGTATCTCTCCTCCCAAATGAAATAGACTGTAGCACCCAAGCATAATTCACCTGTGGCATACTTGAGTTTATTTCTCTTCCAATTCATGCACAATGAATTAACATAGTCATGTCAAGGCACCTCCCTATAACCAAGAGAAGAGACCGCAAGAACATGACACCAAATGGACTTTGTGAAAGCACATGCATGGAAATAAAAGATGATCCAAAGATTCTTAGGCCTATTTACAAGAACAATAACATGCATTTTGAGTAATATCATACCTCATTTGTCTTTGGTGCTGAGCTTCCCTTTAATAGTCATCCAAAGAATCATAGCATGTATAGCAATTGATTTCCTAAACCACACAAGGTGGTGTATTTAAAAATTATTATATTAATTTTAGTAATTTTTATTAAGGTTAAAATTGTCAAAAAAAAAAGGAGGATACTATTAATTTGATGGAAGCCAAAAATCGCTTCCGTTTTATTAAATATAAAAAGACCCGGTTTATAGTTTTACCTTAGACTAAAATATGGTCCAGCATATTAAATGTGGAAAAATATTACAGTACATAAAATAAGAATTTGGTAATAATAAAGAAAGTTTTGACAACATAGGCTTGATTGTTTGGTACTTAGAAAAAGCTCAATCATTTGGAAGCAGGGAGAACTCCTTTGAGAAACGATGAAATCGTAGCAAGTGCGCGCCCTGGTTGGTAGCTTGTAACCATATGCCCAGCTTCTTTCACGGTCACAAATGTCAATCCTTCATATGCCACCACTAGTGTTGGAAAAGTAACCCGTCCAGCTCGATCCAACCCGACATGCAGTGGGTCACTGATTTTGGCGCGTTGGTCCTAACCCGCCTGTCAACAACGGCAGGTCGGGATAAGCCTGCCATTTATTGGGGATTGGCTGGCCCAGCCCAGCCCGCCAACCCTAACCCGTCGAGTTAGGCTGTGGGTCGGGTTAGGTTAACCCCCTTTTTTGATTTTTTTTTTTCTTTTTGTTTAGTTAACTTTTCAAATGAATAATTAACAATTTAT